GGCCTTATATCAGCACCCCTGCCAGGACGGTTGGACATTAAAGAGGGTACCGAAACATTTCCACTATGGAGGATCCCTTTTTTCCAAGGGACTAGGGTCTTAGGAAAATGTTCAAGGCTAGGCAAACCAAATAATTGATTGAGCTTAACTGGCTCTCAGGATTGGGAGCCTTGAGATCTTAGAAATCCAGGTACCCTTAAGCGAACCTCTGGGTTGCTCGGGGCTTCAAAGCAAATAGTATAGTTTTAGGAATAGGGCCCCTTAAGCTCTGACTTATCTGATGAAGAATAATTACGATTCAAAACATGTTTTTTCTTCTCAACCCTCAAAAATTACGAATTCTGCACCCAAAACTTGACATTAAAGAGAGTCCCTAAAACAATCCAAGATCCTGAATAAGCCCGAAAACTTGACATNNNNCCTGCAAAAGTGGGTCCAACATTAAACTGCACCCTCAACCGGCACATCCCTATACACCCTGCGGCTTATGCCCTGAGCCCCGAAGCCGAAAGACAGCAAGCCCACCGCCTTCCGATTTCAGGCGGAGGCTGCCGGTCTTGAGGAGTTCGAGCTTGAGGAGATCAGGTGGGCAACAGCCCGTTTGCGGTGTATTCAAGGTTTAGGGCTTAGGGTACCGAACTCTTAGTGGAGTTTTCGAGGGTTCTGGTCGGTCAGGATTTAGGTGGGGGGGTCGTTGTTTAAGGATGGCTGAAAGGACATGGAATTGTATTCAGGCTTCATGGCTTGAAATCTAATCAGGGGTTTAGAATAAGTTGCCCGCTCTCATAACCAAGAATACATGCTACCATGGACTGTCCCAATTTTGTTCATTGAGTGCTCATTGGTGACGGGGAGAGGATAGGTCCACGTCTCTCCGTCTCAACAGCTTCATGCTGTCTTAAGCTTACCTGGCTTTTGGATAATATTCCTATGGCCCTTTGACTCTTACCTTCCGAATGGTGGCCGAGATTGTTGGGCTGATTGTCAAGAAGCCCCATGTACAAGCCTGTAGATGCTAAAGGCTAACGGCTAACCCTTAAACCTGAACCCCCCGCCGCAGAATCCCCCAACCCTAGCCCCTAGATAAAACACAAATCCCTAAACTGTAAACTCAGTTGTTGTACGGTTTAGGTGTCTTGTTTTTTTGGGTTCCAGAAGCTTAGGAGGATGTCAGGCCTAACACCCCTAAACTCCAAACCCCCTAAA